AAAAGTCCTTTAGTCCGATTACTTGAACGGCACTCCCGAAGCAAACGCGACGAACCGGCTGCGGTTCGTTCATTCAATTAAATCGGCGGACGAGGGTACGTTAGCTTCCCCGTCTTTGAATTTTTATCCAAGCAGAACAAGAGTTTTGCTTGGGTAAAATCCTCGTACTGGGTACTGGAGCCTTCCCACCTCGCCAAGGTCGTACCCGTGGGAAGGAAAAGTACTTTTCTCTGTAATATAAAAGCGGGTAACATGAATTTCTCATGCAAATTTGAAGGAGTCGCGACGCCGCGTGCTCCGCGTCGTTCCGCGTTCATCACCGCGTTACCGGCGTTACGTTGTTAATGAGCGACGAAATTAATGTTCCGAGATGTTGGCAACTTGGCGCGATACTACGCAAGTCGAGCGGACGGTTAATAAAGACACGCACTTGGTCAATCAGAGATACGCTGTTGAAATTAAATATCGCACGCACAGTACGTTACCAAACTCGTAAATCCCGCGAAAGTAAAACTGCGTTATTATATGCACGACGAAGAATCGTGACTGCCGGCCGCTAACTTACGCGACGCGAAATATACGAGAATCCGAGATTATGAAGCATTCACGAACGGGCGATGTATCGCGGCGCCGCGGCGTTCCGTTATCACCGATCGAATCACCGGAATCACTTGACACGATCAATATCACTCAGCCCTTTTTCCCTACGGAGAGAATCGGAGCTAAATCCCACGACACGTCCGGCACGTCAGCGTTCTTCGCGAATCCAGACATGGCGGGAGGAGCGACTATCACTCGCGAATATCACAGCGCGAAACTGCAAAGCAAGTCGTTCATACATACCTCCGCCTCGACGTCTCGAGTGAGCGCGTCGCGCGACATGTTCATTCCGATAAACACCTCATACACTCGTAAATTGTTTTACACATACACACACGGCACACGGCACACGGCGCGCGGTACTCGATCGCGTAGCGATTATTCCCGCGGCCCACGAAACGAGGAAGCAGGAATGCCAATCACCGAAACGAGCGCGTTCCGAAAACAGCACGAAGCACGGTGACGTCGGTGACGAGCGCGCGCGGAGCACAAACACTTCCTACCTGTGCGAAATTCCTCGGAAGAATGATAACTGAGTCACTCACGCAGGTAACACTACTCCGAGCGTTGACGGAAACAAGTGACAAGTCCGCTCATCGCCAGAAACAACGTCGAAAACGCGCCGATCTTCAAAGTACGGAGCTTTCGAATGTAACGGTCGCGCCGCTAGTACGGACTGCGCAGGTGCCTACACTGCCTACTACGTCACCGTCACCGTATCGATCCGCCGCGCCGGCGGCGCGGAGCGGCGCATGACGTCACGGCCTACCCCTCCTAAGCGGCACGACGCGCGCGGCCGCGGCCGGTTCAAAAATACCGAAAACTTTCAACGAACAATAAGAGATCAACGTATGCCGAATTTTTCGTTAACTTTTACAGGTTTAACTGGCTGTATTCTCTACGTTCTGTCTCGGTGGTGTCTGGTCGACGTAGCTGTCTCTCGAAACGCGTGCTATATATCGCTAACACGTAGTGATCATTAGCCTGGCGATTACGTAACTCCCTCATACTACGTTTACGCGAGCGTTACTTCTGTAGTAACTTACGATATATCATTCGTTTACGCGGAGTAACGTATCGTAAGTTACTACAAAATCCCGTTTACGCGAAGGACGTATCGTAAATTACTACAGAAGTAACGCTCGCGTAAACGTAGTAACAGTCAGTACGTGAGGAATATAGAGGCGACGGTGGCTGTTTACGCGGAACAGATATTTTTGCGCGATTTTTCTATATTTAAGAAATATCCCAAGTAGCACAGCAAGTCACAATAAAATCAAAATGACGTCAAAATGATGGTAAAATGACCAAAAATCGTCATTTTGCAGTCATTTTGACATCATTTTGACGTTATTGTGACTTGCTGTGCTACTTGGGATAATACGTGCACAAATATAAAAGAGTTTTATCTATAATTTTACATACGTATTTCCAATATATGTGTACATTTTATTGTAATACATGCATATTCGGGAATCGAGGAATGGAACGTACACGTCTATCATTTTTTGCCGCGATGTATATTTCGCACAAAATCTTTCGTTAAAGTTGCTTAAATTTTAGTATAGATATATGTATAGAATTTCGTTGCGAAATTTGGGATAGAGTTCTGTTTATAATTTTGTATACCGTATATTGCGAGAGAAATTTATAAACTTCAAATATATATATAAAATATATATATCTATTAAAATACACATACGCACCGTGGAGTACGCATGAAACGTCCTCTTTCTTAATTAAAGAGACACATTTTGTAAATTAATATTACGTGATACTAATATAAATTTTAATTTATATATTAGTATCACGTAATATATTATTTAATTTAATATTTTTATATATTATTTAAATAAAATATTAAATAAAATAAACTTATAGGTATTATTTAAGTTATTATATATTTTATTATAAAAATATAATTTATAAATTATTTATAAATTAATTTTATAGACGTATTCCTTGGTATATTCTTTATATACAATGCACAAATAAATACTGCACAAATTTAAATAATAAAATAGTTTCATTTACATCGTCATCTTATACGACTATTGGTTCGGGTTCGCCCCAGTTCGCCCTGGCCTTTATTTGAGCAGCGCTCGACGGCCATCATAATAATAATAAGAAGAAGAATATATATACATGACGCCGGTAACGTAGCGTCGGATTCCATTCGTTCATATAACCTTGTTATCTGGACTTTCGAGCAATCAATTGGAGACGCAGGAAGATATTAGTCCTATCCCAAATACTTTTGAAAAGAAATGCTACATATAATAAATGTGTTCGATAATTCATCGCTTTTTATAACCGGTTCGACTTGTTGTAATGCAATATTCCAGGTTTCCTTTGCTTAGCGTTTTACTCATTGCTGCGCGGTGACAGAGAGATAACGCGACATTTAAAGTATAAATTGTGCCAGTTATCTGCTCGTTATCAGTGTGATATATAAGCAGGATCTTAAATTGCATACGTGCATTTAGCATTCGTACTTTGCAAAAACCTTGAAACGTGACACGCAAGAGTCAAGATGGCATTAAGAGAGGTAAGCAATGGTTTCTCATGTTACGGATCTTTGCAGTAATTTTTTTTAAGCATTAAACAATGCAGAGTTACGCGAAATGATTATGCACGGAGAATATCTTTGCAGGTAAAGGAATTGGTGAAGCTGTATAAATCGTTAGCTGCGTATCCGTCCTTAAGCAGCGCACAGATCTTGACTGCTAAGAGCGGCAAGTTATTCATACAGGCCTCATGGACGCAGAGGAATCTGGAGAGGAAGACGGATCAACGCTTCTTACAGAATTACGAATTAAATTCAGACTTGACTCTAGATTCTACCCAATTTCCAATTGATACTACCACAGAGTAAGCAATTTGGATGTCATTAGCAGATGATGTAGAATGTTTAATGTACTTATTGCCCACACTTTAGATGTATCCGTTTTGAACAGGTTGATGTACACCTTGACAAAGAATGAGGAACGCAGAGCTGTACTGCGGCAAGTCACAATTGATAATTCTACAAAACAGTTCATAGAAATCTGGGATAAGCAACATTTCGTGAAAAATTATGATCTATCTGCACTGGATGTCCACGGCGATGTTTACACCGATGGTACAAGTTTCGACGTATCTACCTTCCATCTCAAACTTTTAATATTTTAAATATATATTAACTACGTGCTTCTTTTACAGCCGAATTTCGTTCATTTGAATGGTCTCCGGATAATACCAAGGTTCTGTACATAGCAGAAAAAAAGCTCCCTAAGTCAGAACCGTTTTATAAGCAAAAATCATTGGATAAGAAAGATAAGGAGAAGAAAGAGGATGATGAAGCAACAGTGGTAAACTTTATTTCTTGTTTCTTTAAATTATAGAGTTCTATTTGTATGTACATATATTGTCTTATTGATACTATTTTTCTTATTGGTACAGGGTAATGAATATATCTACAAACCACATTGGGGAGAACAATTAGTAGGTAAACACCGACCTGTTGTTGCTGTTCTCGATACGACGATGGATACCATTACAATTTTATCTGGAATACCAGATGAACTTTCTCCCGGTCAAGTGATTTGGACGAAAGATCAGGATGTAATTGGTGTTGCTTGGAAGCATGAACCACTATACTTAGGCCTTACTGCGTGCACCAATAGATATTCTTGGATATTTTTATTGAAAAATGGAGAATATCGTAAGGAATATTTAAATAATTAATAGGGAAGACTCTTGTATAAAATGGCAAAAAAATGATAACTTTTGTTACACAGGAAAATTGTCTGATGAAGGATGTGCTGTGCACAGTCCTAGAATCAGCCCTGATGGAAATTATCTCGTGTGGTTGCAGAGGGAAGCAGGTCTCGTTCCACATCATAATGTGCACAAGCTTATGTTGAGAGATTTGAGAGTGGAAGAGGATCATGTAATGTTACAATAAATTAATGATTAGATTAATTATAAGTCGAAAATTAAATTAAGAAAAGTATGTTTAATATTTTGAGTTTCTAATTGTTCCATCTCACATCTAGAATAACGAGATCGTGGAAGCAGTGCGAACAAGTAAAACAATTAGTCAAAACAGACAATTTTATGGGATATATGGTCGTTTACCTCGTCGTTGTTGGAGTGACGATTCTCAATACTTATTTTTCAGTACGCCTCAAAGAAACAATATCGTCTCGTACATCGTGAATATAAGTAAGAAACTAACGCTTTATTGGTTAAACTATGATTTAATGAAATATATTTTCTTGTCATTTAAAAAGACTGTCTTTACAGCAACAAAAGATATTACTGAGATAAGAAACGACAGAAGCAGTCTTTCTATACTGGACGTAAAGGGAGATGTGATTGCATTTGTGAACACTTCTTTAATGCAATATTCTACTCTTATGGCGGGTCGTTTTAACATTGAAGCGGCAAATAATGGAGATATTCCCAGAAGTGCGATTACACTTCCAATAAAAATTCCTGGTCCTGAAGAAATTATATATGAACCTAATGAATATAGTTACGATAACGATGACAGTATAAGTAAGTGAATCGTATTATCGTTAGCAACATAGACTTCCTAAGTCTATGGTTAGCGCAATGTCTCTTGATGCAGCTATTTGAATGTTGTTTCTCCACTTTTCAGAGCAATTCAACTATATTTATTTCGGACCAAAGAGTGGTAAAGATCAATCGGTACCTTTTATAGTTATACCACATGGAGGACCTCATAGCAATTTTGCAAATACATTTTCTCTCGAGTCTTCTTTCTTGATATCAGCAGGTAACATACAAATCGTAACTTTTTCTTTATATAATGTTTTAAAAAAGTTTTACTATACTAATTTTGTATAATTCAGGTTTTGCAGTAGTGCTAGTAAACTATCGTGGTTCTACGGGAATGGGCAGCGCAACGGTGGAGTATCTTCAAGGAAAAGTTGGGAACGTGGATGTGAAGGATTGCATAACTGCTACGCAGGAAGCGATCAAGAGATACCCTTGGCTCGATCCTAAACGCATAGGACTTAATGGCGGATCTCACGGTGGATTCTTGGTAGCACATTTGAGTGGGCAAGCTCCAGTAAGCGAGTCAAACTATAAATTTGTATCACAATCCATTAATTTGAATATCGATATAAAAGCTGTCTTCATTTTAGGATCTGTTTAAAGCAGTAATTGCAAAAAATCCTGTCATCGATATCGCTACCATGTTCGGTACATCTGACATCCCAGACTGGTAAAGAAATATTTAATACCTAATAACGATAGTCCTCACGTCCTAATTATTCAATATTACATATTGGTATTTCAGTCGCAATGCTCTGACTAAGGAAGAGAAAATAGCATATCTTCATAATGTGTAAGCTTAATCGTTACGTGTATCAATGCAAATGTATCAATAGTCGCGATTAGTCTAAACCTGACTGAAATGCATAGTTTTCTTTTTATATAAATTTCATGAATTATTTATGACGACGGTTTAGGTAAACATGTTTGTATTCGCGTCATTTTTATTCTCTATTATCACTAACGTGATTTAATTTTTTTTTATTGCAGGTGCGCTGTGGAAGCAGGTATTCTTTTCAACATTGTTACCGGTCCTTGGCCCAATGACAGCGACGTGTTTGTGAAAATGAGGAATTGCTCGCCCATAGTGCATGTCGATAAGGTCAAGGCACCAACCTTGATTTGTATTGGAACGAAAGATCTACGAGTACCATGCTCTCAAGGAACGATGTGGTACAACAGACTCAAAATTAATAAAGTGAAAGCTAAGTAAGTTGGCATTCGTGTTTAAACTAAACATGAAGAATATAAAAATCTCGCATCGCTTATTGAGACTTGACATTACAGGATGCTGGTGTACGATGACAATCATCAGTTGGGAACTGGATCAGCTGAGATCGATCATATCATCAACGATTACCTATGGTTACTGGAGCATACGTCTAAGGAGTCTGAAGACAAAAAATAAATTGCAACCATTTGATTATATGTATGTATATATACACATAGATTTTTATTATCACAAATGGAATATTTACATGATTTTATTACATACATTTTATAAAGACATAATATTTAATCTCCAAAAATATACGCACACGTCCAGTACTTGTATACATTATATAAAATTTTTATGCTTTATATACGTACAAAAATTATTTTATATATTTATATGTCGCGCATACTCAAGTAAGGCGTACCATTCTCAAAGTATGTTACAATATAGCGAGTTCACATACCACAATTGTCTATGAACACAACAGATCTCATCAGATTCTTTTTTTTTTCGAGATATATAGAGAATTATCATTATATCAAATATTGTCGCAAATAAAATAACTTAAATAAGGGAAACTAGCGTAGATGTAAAGCTGATGAGATGTAGCTGTAAATTCAATTAACGTATTTAAAAAATACTGCACCGTTATTTTGATACGGAATTGTAATATTTCATCAAATACCAAGAAGCTGTTTTGAGGCCTCTATTTCTTCGTTGCCGTTATCGATGAACAAAATTCTCGTAGTATTATTTCTTAAATATTAGAAAATAATACAAACCGTAGAAATTCACATTTAAGACTACTGTTTTTTCACTGTAATCATAAGTTATGTCAAACTTTTTTTCTTGCAATATGCTGTTGAACACTAATAATGGCGTATGAAAAACCTAATTTACTTCAGCGTATATTGCAAGAAAAAAATGATTGATCACATTATTTCTCGTTTCTGACGTCATAATTCAATGAGGTTGCAGTGAAGAAACGAAAACTTTGGAGCTATACATAAGGAAAAAGAAACTTAATTGAGCTACCTATTAACCGCTGCATTTCGTATAATCTCATAATATATAAAAAGAAACAACGAACATGGTGTTGATATAACAGTACTATAACAGTACAGCGTATAAATGTGCTGCATGCAGTGGCGCAATTGGATGTGGACGGTGGATGAGCAGCAATGCTTCAATTATGAGGAATTACTTTGGACAAAATGATTGAAATTGATGCATGCAATTCATTGATTTACTAACTCTCTTCATCCATTGTCAAAGAACGAACAAAGAACAGTAGTTAATGTCGCGTAGCTTCACGTCACAGTCATAACTGATTTATCTGTAGCATCAATAGAGCATCCTGAAGCTGCGAGTTAACTCACGCTGCCAGGAAATGTCGATTACATGAAGAATCGAAACTGATGCATGCATTTAATTTACCAATTTATCAGAACGTTTTCTTTCATAATAAAATCCTGCTCGCACTTTGAAGAACAGTGTATGTGTAGAGAAGGATCGGTCTAGTTACGTCATCAGGTGCGTAACAACGCACAGCGTCTAATTAAAACATTAGACGGTATGTTTAATGCAAACTCAGTTCATCCTCGGATTCAATAACTTACGATCTGGCAGGATTACTCTGTTCGGGGAACAACGAGTCGTAACTGGGTGGCAGATCTTTGTCCGCAACAGGCGAGGACACCGCAACTTCCAACATAGGAGCTGTCGGCACCGCGCGATTGGATCCCTGGCCTCCGTCGGCGTCCGGCAAGGAAACCGGCCGCGAGCACGCGTTCGGGCCAGCGCAATCCGACGACCAGCACAACTTTTGCGATTTCTTGCAGATCCACAGACACATAACGAAGATAATGAAACAGAGGATCATGGTAGTGACCGCTCCTACGGTGACTTTCGTGGCGGTATCGTCCTTGGGGTATCGATCGTTGACCACGCAATTTTCCTCGTCCGAACATATGCCGTGAGGACAGTTGTAGATCTTGTCGCATAGGTATTCCTTCCGAATGCAATTGTTCTGTCCGACCAGCTTGTATTCCTGGGAATCTGCCTGATTGCAACCTACAAATAGATTATCAATAAGATCTATGTTATCAATCTATGGGTTTATTTTCTGTTACCGAACTGGCTGCACTAGTTCAGAATTTATCTTTCTTACTCCACATTGGAAGGAAAAAGATAAACTCTGAACTAGTACAGCCAGTTCAGTAACAGAAAACGGACCTTATATGTAACATTCAATATAAATGTGTTAAAGGAACATACTTTTGTATGGGGTATAAGCTATAATAAGATCCAAAGATTGTCCGTCTGGCACTTTTTCCTTAGAAATATATATTTCAGTTTCTATTGTGGCAGTCTCTGTACTCCATGGTTTCCATGTTGCAACAGAATGTCGAACAGGATCATATTCCGCATACATATCATAATTGTATGACCGGCTATCATTTGTGTAATCCGAATCGTTCTCGGGCTCAGGAACCGGAAGATACATTGTCTGGCTACGATCTATATCCCCACAGATCTGTTTCGTGTAATGGCCATCGCTTCTCTTGAACTAACGAAACGAAAACGTCTGTGTCAAGAGTCAAGAGTCTGACGCCGCACACTATCTAATTGCAATTGTCTTTATCTATACTCACCCGTACGTAATCGATACAACGATCACCGTCGCGACGGAAAGCCATCTTCTGAACAACCGCGAAGAGGCCCTCGCTCTTGCCGGTCCTGAAGACGAACCTGCAGTGGCGATCAGCGTTGACGAGCCAGCGGTCGAACATGTGATGCGGGGTGACGATCGCCGCGGCGCCGTTAAGCATGTCGAGCGTGTGCTTCTTGTTCAGGATATGACAGATCCTATCGCTCTCGAGGCGATCTGTGAAAAAGGAACACGTAGAGGTGAGGTTAAGCGACACATGGCAAAAAAGAAAGAGACAGAGAAATCTTTTCTCGCTGGCCGACTCGGACTTACACTCGTTATAATTGGCGTAACGCGCGCACGAGCACAGGTGCGCGATCACGATCAGCAGGTAGACGACGCCCGCATCCCGGGCCATCTTCGGGTCGCGACCGCGCGGACCTGGGTGTCACCACAGGGCCATACAGGACGCACGAGGAGCGTTGACACGGAGAAACGCCGTGTGAAACGTCGACGTGAGATTACTTCCGTGGATTTCAGCAGCGGTGCCCGGAGCAGAAATTGCGCGATGTTGTTACCACGAGATGCGTCACCCATCCATCCCCCCCGGGGGTAACCAAACAAGTCCCAAGTCCCGAGTCCCCCGACCTCCCGAAGAGTGACGAGTCGATCGACGCCGCTGTCTTCGAGAAGACAGACATCGATCGCGCGATCGAGACCTCGACGATAGATCCTGCGCGTCGAGCGTCTCGGAGCGACGAGCGAAAGAGAAAGGGAGAAAGAAATAAATAAATGTTGCTCGATATTCTCGATAATTAAATATAGAAAGAGAAAATGCGCTGCGAAGCGAATAGAAAAATCTACGTGGAGTTCGGAGAAGTAGAAACGGGCGCCACAGCTGTCAAGTGGCTAGAGATAGTCAACGAAAGTTGCGTTAGTGTCTCTCGACTTCTTACCTATGTCTATGATGTTTATTTCTATCAATACAAATTAACTTTAATCTTTTTCTGTTTCTTAGAACTGTATGGATAAAATCAGGATAATATAAGTTAAACACAAGAGCGATTTTGATCAAGCTTTGATTAACTTGAGAGGATGCATTTGAAAATAATTAAAATATCAATTTTTTAACTTAAAAAGAAAGTACTTACATTCCTTCCTCGCTATACATTTTGAGCGCTAGAAAATGATTTTTAAGTATTTAAAAAGAGAGATTAAGCATATGGCATATAATCCTGTCGCAATCTGAATAGTTAAAAGTAGATGGTTTTAAATTTTTATTTTGATTCGTCACCTAGTAGAACACTCTCACGTTGCCGTAAGACTGATTATCAATAATGATGCAGATTGAACAGATTTACGAGGCCCGAAGAGACGCGACTACCAATCCGCTGGACCACGTGTTCGAATTATGTGGCTACTCGTGGTCTCTGCTTCCCGGCCAGACATACAAGTGCAAAATATACTATCGACCGTTCGTGCCGTTCGCCGTAAACGTAGATTACTTTATGATCGTGGACTCAGCTGGTGAACGCGCGGAGATCCAAGTCCGTGGAACGTGCATCGGTACGGAATCTCTTTCAATTAGCAGTCGTCGTTCAAGAAAAGGATCTTTCATTAAAGCCCGTTTGCCGAACTCCGCAAGCCCTCGACGATGTATTCTCGTTGGAGTAAAAATGATTGACTGAGCCTTTCGGAAGCCAAACCGATCACGTCCGCCTTTTTGAAAATTTCTTAATTTTAGTACCGGAGCGCTTGATTAGTTTATAACTTCGTCAATTTTTTCTGCTTTTTATTTCACGATCAGTTGATCAGCTTGACTTTCCAGAGGCTAAATTGTCAAAGCGCGACAGACGTCAGCAGGTTCGAAAAGAGATAATTGCGAGCATTATCTTTCTGTTGAAAAGCATATACGTCACCCGAAACTGAATAAATTAAGACACAGATAAGTTCCGTCTAATTCGAGTTATGAGTCATTAATTATCCGAACACGTGTCCTGAAATTGCGACTGTACGTCTACGACGAACGTTCGTCACCGTGTGACGTGGATTGATCATTTACGTTCGTGCAGGACCCCTGATCTCCTCGTCCGCCACGAGATTAATCATGATGTGCACGAGCGAGAATCGCGAGGCGAAGAAACGGATCAGACTCGTCAACGATTCGAAAGCTACGGCGACTTTCATGTTTGACGTCGATCCGCTTCGGCGACCATTCGAAGCAAATCCACAGCACGGATATATCGAGCCCCATTCTCGCAAGTGCGTGACGATTACCTTCGCGCCGCGGGAAGATGGGATCTACGCATGCCACTTTCCGTGCTTAATCCTGAATCATGTAATGAGTAAATTTGAATTTTCCATATTTATTACAGCACGCGACCCTTCGTACATTGGAGTAAAGGGTCGGCAAACTATATGACCCAAATCTAACCGGCTGCCTGTTTTCGTGCGGTCCGCGCAATTATTTCATTACATTTTGAATATTGTCAATAAAAAATTTATGTTTTCTCTATCATTCTCTAGAATTCTCTATAATCTTTTAATATTACGTAATATCTTCTTGGACCGTTGAAATATTTACTATTTAGCTTTTTATGGAAAAAGTTTGCCGACTCCGGGCGTTATAACAGGACGTTTATGATCCACACAATATATAAAAAATTCTTTATGCGTACGTGATATAATTCACGATAATACATTTTACAGAAACCAATTATCATAGAGTTATACGGCTATTGCTGCAAGGCGTTACGTAAAACGACCACACAGAGTCAATTTAATTATCCTTCGAGATTGAAGAATGGCTTTGAAGGATATACCAGCGATACTGTCGTCGCTACGCAAGATCTACCTACGGTCTCTTCGTCGAAGAATTGCATTGACTTTGGTCAGGCCGAAGTGGAGGAGGAGGAAAACGCTGCGCGAAAAATTCCGGAAACTCTGTGTCTCACTAATCACAGCCAGTCCGACGTATTAATTAAATGGGACCAAGGTTTCTGTTCATCAAATTAGTAACATTTATTTCTATATATATGTTTTATCTTTTAACTTTTAACTTGTAAGATTATTTTTAACGGACGCAGAAAGTAAAATTATAAATACCATCGCATAAGCACATATAGATTTATTTTGCTATCAATTGATAATTTATCTTGTATGTAGATGTTGAAGGAATTTTTTCTATAACACCTGCCGTCGCGAAGATACCGGCAAGCCAGACGGCTTTATTCGAAGTCGCGTTTAGTCCCAACCGAGGTAGCAGTTTTTTTACAAGGGACCTCGTCGGAGATGTTTTTGTCGAGCAACAAAAAGACCGCTCTAGAAAAGAAACCCTGGAATTTCCTACAATCATGTCCGTACGGCTAATCGGTGCATACATTCTCTTTCTTTCTGTCTTTCTCTGTCTCTCGCACTTGCATAACGTCACGATTACCTAATTCAATCCGTCTTTTTTACACAGGTCACTCCTTCCCCGTTTGCTCCGACGGTTGGATTCCTCAGTACGAGATACCTCATGTAGTTAAAATGCCTCCTTGCATACCCTCGTCGCCGACGTACGCCACATTTTTAATAAGAAAATACGGACATCTCCCATTAATGTACCATTTTGTACCACCGGTATCGAGCCACTTCGTCGTGAAGCCAATGATGGGAATAATTCATCAGTAACTTGGATTTAATATAAAATTTTATATCGCCCTAATTACTCTGGTTTAGCATGAAATCTCGTCGCAGACGCGCGCTGCACGTATCATATAAATGATTTACCGCAATGTTATCTACTATTTTTACACTCACGTGACATTTTTACTCTTTACAAATAATTAAAACAATTTTTTATATCAGTATTTTTGTCGTTCAATACTATTTTCAGTTTCTACCCCTCAACGAAACATTGTCATTCTTTTCAGAGATTATCAGATCATTGTAGTCGGTATGTTACCCGGTACTGACGACGAACGCGTTTATATGGAACGTTGGGCGATACGATTCAATGGAAATTCCAAGTCGGAATGTTTCATAGATTTTCAGGGATACACAGAATACGCGAATGTCAATTTTAGCGATCGGAATATCGTGTGCTTCGCGCCGACATTTCCAGGCTGTCAAAGTCAACAACAGTTCTGTATGCGAAATATCACTCGACACACAATACAGTAAATTTCTATAATGATATTAATATTGATTCCGTAGAATACATATTAAACCTATAAAGTAATAAAAATGGATTACATAATGTAACATAATGTAAAATGCACCAACGCAAACAACACATAATGTGTCGAAATTGCTTAATAGTTTTGCTATGAATTAAATTTAAAATATAAAAACTGTACGTTAATTATACGTGCCTAATTTTTTCTATTATTACAAAAAATTAATTAAGAGTATTTCTAGGGGAGTAAGTAGGAATTAGATTATTGTTATGGTTGTCTTTGATTAATACCGATCCTTCAGATATGAATTTATTAACGTGGTGCCGGAACTTCAGATGCGAAATGGAAATGGCAAAATTTGCTCGAATGGTACTGTTATTCATGAGTGGTTATTCTGCCCTGCAATACTTGGAGACTACGAATTTAACATAAATTGTGTATTGGTCGTACTGAGAGACGGAACTCCCGTCGGGCCTAGCGTCTGTGTAACATTGCATGTAACAGGAAGATGCGAATTTGGCTTTCTTGTGGTAAATTAATTAGTGAATAATAAAATAATAGAAATATAATAAAATAAGTAAAAAATAATTTCAATGCTGGATCCTGTTATGTTCTCCAGTCAGCGCCGGATGAATTAAATTTCGGAATTCAAGCGTACAAAGATACAAGAGAATTAAGTTTCCACGTATTTAACTCGAGCCCCGTAAATATCTATTATAAAATGATGTGTAGTCATTGCGACTGGCCAATCGGAAATATAGAGCATGATGTAAAAATACATCCGATCGCAGATACCGTTTTTGCCGGAAAAGATAAAATCATTACTGTTTCTATCACGCCTACTGCGACGGGATGTTACGAATTTTTCGTTCAATATTTTGTGAGAATGAGTTCTGATACAGACACATTGATTCCAAGTCAGAAACCGAGGAATATCTGTAAAGTGTGCTGTTTATGTATATTGCCTACTTTGAAGGTAAAACGCAAATAGTATTCTTTTAAAATAGCATTTGCCAATAGAAGCGCATTTTTTGAATAATATAATTGTAATTGTAATGATTTGACGAAATGATATAATTGTAACAAATATAATGATCGTCCTTTTTTAATAAAACGGTAGGTAACGGATCTGCAATGTTACGGGCCTTACCCGGACGTGAGCAAAGTTTTCCTTTGGAAACTGATGAAAATGAATACGTACATAGAATTTCACGGTTTTTTTTTTCGATTTTATATAAACACAATTCATAAATGTTTTAATCGCAAGTGTGTGCATACATTTCTAGGCTTAATATGTTACTTAGAGATTTGCAACCGGAAATGTCACAAACACTGCACATAAACTTCCCGGTAATGGTTTTACAAAAGAGTCCGGTTACCGTAAAATTGCTTCTAACAAACGCAGCTGCAGTGATTGCTTCATGGAATATTAAAAGAGTGCAGCTCTGTTCTTGTCGGCCGATTGCAAAAACCCAAGGCTTCAAATTTCAACGTGCAAAGTACGATTGCTTGCATAGGAAAGTGTGTTCTGTACAGCCAAAAACGGGAAATCTGAAAGTATAACCCTTTACAGTAGTTTTACAGTAATTTTTCTGATTTATTTTTCTTATATTTTAATTTAATTTATTTATCACTGTCACATATTTAAATAAATCGCAGCCAGGAGAAGAAGCCTGGATAACTCTAGAGCTGCGTTACATATTATTAGGAAAAACCGAGGCAAAGTGGGACTTGGACCTTGGAGATAATCGTCATATTTTTTTCATTATAATGATTGAATGTTTATCTGATTCTGATAATAAGCTCCACCTTTTACACGGCACGCATTTTAAGTTCCAGCCTGTTTTCTTTGGAGAGAAGGATCCTATCTATCAGGTTGTTTTTAGTTGCATTTAAAGATTAGATAACGTCCATGAAAATTTTTCAGGTAGAAATTTTTCAGGTGTGTTGGGTGCATAATGGTACGAATAATAGCATTCCGTTTTCCATAAGCCTGAAAGCAATGCGCGAAATAAATCAGGAATATTGCTATAAGGTTTTTTCCTGCGCGATTCCACACGTAATCGCGAATCCACACACTTCTGTCCCGATTCTTTTAAAATTTCAGCCAAGGCAATTCGGCATATTTAAAGTACATATGTATATAAATATATATATGTATAACAAATTTAATAGAATATGATTAATAAATAAATATTTTTCTCCAAATAAAAATATATACATTTGGTGTATCCCTTTCTCAATAGGGGAAGTTGCGTTTGACTCTGGGTGACGAAGAGGAAGAACTGACAGTCGTAGGTGAATCCTCCTTGCCACATAAACCAACAATTAGAGAATATGTGCCATGCGAACGTAACTTCGAGGATGATGAAAATATTCCTGTATACTTTAGTACTGACTGCATAAATATTTCGCACATCGCTACACACAGCCATGTAGTTAAAATGGTTATGATGCACAATAATTTGGTGCAAGATGTACTCGCCTACGAATGGAAAAGGTATTCCTTTTCCGCTTAAATTAAACTATATGAGCTATAAAAGAAATTATTATTAATCGGTCAAAGCAAAATAGAATTAATATTTCTTTATCACTATCAGACGTGAGATATCTGAAATAATTCACGTGGAGATTTTTCCGCGAAAAGGCTTGATAAAGCCAATGTCCGTTAAAAGCTTTCGTGTAACTATATACACGAAAGGATACCCTTGCATAATTGATATTGATATACCTTGCGAGTTTATTAATGCCAGCCAAAGGCGGGTCTATCAACGAAGTGTGTATATTCATGAAGGCTTATCCCAGGAACTGGAAGGGCAGTTTACTATCACAGAAAAAGGCATCAGCGTTCCAGTAAATAAAATATATAAAACTTTCCTGTAAAATTTTAGAAATTTAAAAACGATTTAAAAAAGTTATAATGTAAAATTGGTAGAAAATTAATTAGCAGATTTAATTTATGTATAAAAAATAAGAATTTTTCTTTAAGCTTCTAAATTTATATATTTATTTGTATCTCAAGGAATTACCGGTAAAAATAGAATTAGAAAAACCTCAGCCGTTTTACAAAATCATAACGATTCAATGTTCGGTATATAGTGTGGAAGATAAATTTCTGAAAGTTAGCCTAATGAAAGAGCTAACAAGTGCACCGCCGAAAGGAATATGCCTTGAGGAAGAAAATGAGAAAATGATGACATTCGAAAAAGAAGATATTAGTCGGTCTTCGTTCATTATAGAAGGTCTACTGTGGTAAAACACTTAATTTTTATAAATATTTTAAGCAATAAGCAAGCAATAATAAGCAAGATAATTTGAGATTAATTGGTTGAGAAAATGAACGTCTTTAATAGTTTGATACACTTCGTTACATTTTAGGGAAATAGTCAATAGTAAATTGTTCAAAGACCTAATGCAAGATATTTTACGGGAAGAATCGAACTTATTTTACTCGCAATTCAGAATGAGTTTGCGCGAAAGAAAAAGATTGATACAGAGATCGTACATTTCACCACCGCGAGCGTTAATTAATCGTATATTTGAAGAGGTACTTTATTTTCGATTCGGTATTTATTAAAGGAGCATTAATTAATCGATCAACTTTATCTTGCAGATGTTATTCGTCATAATGCACGAAGAATTCGCTTTGAAGACAGCCCATTTAGTTCACCATACAGATGTCAGACACACAGACTACTTGAACATGGTACCCAGCGTGAGCAGGAAAAAGACAATCAGACGAGGTATTATAAGACATATTTTATTCTTAAAAAATAATTAATTTTATTTCTTACGATCTGTTTTAGAAACGTGGTTGTTACATCAAGACAGACATCCCTCCTTGGTGCCAGAATTAGTACCTTCATCCAGAATATCCTTCGCCGTGTAATTACATACAATAGCCGGACAATTATATGGAACTGCCGCTGCTAGCTATTCGTTGCAACATAAGGATCCGCGATCCTCGTGAACACGGCCAGAAATTTATCTCCTTTGTTCCTGGTGACTTTCATGCCTTCTTCAGTGCTTTCATATAATTTTTCCACTACAGGATCTGTCGCCTGCCATCGACAAAATTTGTCAGTATCACCATCGTATAAGGAAAAAAGAAATAAACAGTTGCACTTACCAAATCCTGCTTGGTAACTTCTTCGAACAGTGGGTGTTCTTGGAAATGTTGAACTATCCATTTATGTAGGTCTTCCACGTCCGTCACGGTATATACAACAGCCTGCGTAATAATAATTTTACAAAATTAGTCTTATATAAGTAATAATGTAACGAACCAAGCGATACTTACTCCCTCGGCTAGAACATAAGCGTATTCCGCTAACAGAGACTTGTTTATTATTCTCCATTTATGCTTCGACTTTTTGAAGTGTGGATCTGGATACAGGAAAAACATCTTCTTTAGCTACGCAAATTAAAGATGTGGATTAATATGCAGACCATTCTATTCTCACATCATGGATCGGATAATCAAGACTTTTTGTTTACCTGTCCTTTGTAGAAATAATTTGGCAGGTACTTCATGGCGTTTGTTCTCAGGCAGGCGATGTTCTGGTATCGGCCGGGATTTTGTGACCGTAAGGCAGCGATGCGATCCATAACGTAGTCTGATACTTTTACTCTGATTTCCATACCGAGTATCAGATTATCCGGGAACATCGGGGACAGGGTAACTGAGGATTAATTCGATTGATTGATTACTTTGATCTTTCGGCAATATGTTAGACAAATTAGAAAAAAGACAAATTACCCAGTAATCCTCCGTAGCCGCAACCAATGTCTGCAAATTCTACAAGTTTCTGCGTCTCTGGCGTTTGCTCAGCGTTGATCCGAAAGTGCTGCGGATACAAAGCGCTCCAATCCATTAAGCCTGGTTTTATCGGGCTACAATAAATAGCAGACGGTAACGACGGCAATTCTTGTAATATTACTCTTGTAATATTGACGAGAGATTCACAAAGAGAACTACTCACTACTCGATGCAGTGATCGGCTATGGGATTCGAATGCGCGCGTTGTCTGTAATATTTCTTTTGCGGTAATGCCAGCGTCGTCGACATGATTACAGCAACGCTAAAGACTTCCAAATCGAAAGAATACCGAAGCCTGCAAAACACCTATTTGATTCTTCCTTCACCGATGCAACGTGTCAAAATGCAATTGTATTTTAGGAGGTTAAATCAAGCCATGAGATATCTTTTAATCATCGCATCTTGTTCCAGCGAGATAAATTACATAACCAGCCAGCACTTCAGAAAGAAAAAAGAAACATACTACGGATCCGTAACTCTGTATATGTATTTTCCAAATCTACACATTTATTATGTATACGTATGTACATTTAAAGTGCAGAGAAAGTGCGGCGCACGTGCGTGACGTGCGCGGGAGTCGGGAGTCGGGGCGCACTGGGGACGATCAGCTGATCGCGGCGCCATTGCCGGGCTCCGCCTGGCGGACGACGACGGCACTAACGACGCGGCGAGAAAGAAAGACGTGTCCGTGACGAGGCGGCGGGGGACGAGTCCTTCGACGCACGGTGCCGAGACTCTTTCCTTTGTTGTTGCGGCCGCCGTCGACGTCGTCGTCTTCCTCCATCGCGGCCTTGTCGACGTCAGTGAGACATGTAATCGCGGGCGGGAAACGTGGCTCTCACTTACATAATCGCGCGCGGGTCGAGAGAGAGCCGGCTGAGAGAACGGCGACTCCTCGGGGGAATCCCTCAGGTGAGGTTAGGGCTCGGGATCCCCGTCCCTGCGACGGCTGCGACGTTGCTCCTTTGCGTCTACTCTCCGGGGACCCCGCGATGAATCCCAGCGTGCCCGCCGTACCCTATGTCACCCCTACGCAAACGCGTAGTCTTTGCCCTTTGCAAACGCAAACCTCTCGTGTAACATTCGGACGAGAAACGCATCGCAAACGAGTGCGTCGTTGCGGTGACAGGAAACCGTCCCGGTTTCCTGGATGACAATTGTCGCTTCCGATCGAGATACGAGCGGAAAATCGAGATTTTACGCTATCCACGTTATCGGGGACGTTAGTAATTAATATTAGATGGGATTTCAGTAAATAGCTAATTATTTTATCAATAACTCGGCGCAAAATCTTTTTAAATAGTAAGAAAGGCGTAAGGGAGAGGAGGAGAAAGACAACGAGATATTATTTCGAGCATGCAAACGCAATAAAACCTCTATAAATTACACGAATCCTAGTACGAATATAATATTGCAAATTGTTTGCGCAAGTGTGATTAATTCCAGATATGTCATGTAAATTTTTGAGCAGCTATTTATTCCTCGTTTCCGGTTTTTCAGGCACATGAGACAGATTTTATTTCATGACGACGTCGGATCTTTTGAGGGAGCGATCTTTCATTTAGTTGGTAAGTCATCTTGCTTTTGTATTGCTCGACTAATGAGCAAGTTAATGCAATAATGCGTGCACGAACAAAAAGAATCATATTTTAATAGCACTAATTTTAATTACAAATGTATACAAAAATTCTAAATGAGAAAGAATTTCTTTTTCTTATAGAATCCACGGATCTAAGAAATTAATTGAGAATTTTACTTATATTTACGAGCAATCTAATTTGCATGACTTAATTATCGACGTCAACTTCATAACACGCGTTATGTTTTAACATTTTTATTTTAAACTCGAACAGTTTGAGAATATGTAATGCAGTAAATAATAATTATTGTGAATATTTATTATGAATTAAAATATTTGCATTAATTGATCACGCAACTAATTTAACATAATAATTAATTGTCATAGTTATCAAATGATTCTTTGTACTGTTAATAATTGATTTATCATATGTGTAATTATCAAATAATTACCGGACAATATGTGCTAAAACTGGTTAAAAACTTGTTGCAATAAATGCAACTTGTAAAAATGTTATCGGAATTAACGATCGTGTTTAAAACGACCTACTCACAGAAATTAGTGCCTGCACTTAAGTTAAGCGCTTCGTCCACGTGGAAACGGTCGCACGCGTCACACGATGTATCGATTGCATAAATGGAATGTAGATAAGTTTCAAGGAAATTACATAATGCGATTGGTATTTGCGTTCCAATCGGCGATCGTTAAAACGATTATAATGATTTCCAATAGATGTTTTTTTTTCGAGCATTTCCTCATGTTGCACGTGGATTGATTGATAGATATGCATTTGATTGCAAAATGTCGAGCACAAGTTTTATGCGCAAACGTCATTAAAACTGCAAATGATTAGCTAGTTTTAAAAGATTAGCAGATGCAGACAGGCGCAGAATTGACAGTTTCGAATATCTAGCATTTAATGTCTATAAAAATGCACAGACCCTGCAGAGAAACAAAATGCTAAGGAATTTGCTAGCTAAAAGGTTTATTAGAATAAGCATTTATTATATATCGAATATATCGTCATAGCGTTATAAAGCAATGGACATAGATGGTGTTTTAAGTAAAAGATATTCTTGCGATTGTTAATATTGTTAAAAATTTTACACTCAAATGTCGAATTATTTTTATCGTAAAACGAGCGAGGAAGGTACTTATTCGCACTCTTCTTTGGACGAGGCAGATCGTCTAACGCGATATCACTTATATGCAAACCGTTTATCTCGGTTCGCGTTCGCGCTCGAAGCATATTTATATGTATATATAATTTGAGAACCGCTGGTTCATGCGAACCTCGCGTGCCGAATACGACAAAGCCTGCCGAGTTGATCGTACGTAAATATAAATCGGGCGACACACGACTCTAGTTACTCGACGAAATCATCGGCGAATTGGTAATACACAAATCCGTCTGTCCGCGAAGAAGAATGTCGCACCAAGACCAAGATGACTCGACATCCGAATCTAAGACCACGTCACCAAAATGGAACATGTATTGGGATCCTAGGTCGTGGTTCAACTCTAATACAAGCCCCGATTTGGTAAATAGTTGAAATTGATCATTTTTTTCCAAACAAATCGTGAAACCTACTAGAAGCTGATAGTCGCTCTACTTCGCGCTGCGAGCGAGTCAAGTTTCCTTTGTCTCGTTGATAATTCTGGGGAAAACATTTCGCATGTATCTTGCCTTATATCTCCGTTGTTAGAGAGAAGTAAATAGGTCGAGCTTATTGAATCGTACATTTTTCATATATTGCACGTACAGGATTGCTAACAGCTGATACCATTGTTATCAATCAGGGTTTCCTCGATATGTGCTATTTCTCTAAATAAAGCGAGTATTATGTCGTATCACGTGTGAAAAACAGTTTTATGACAAGTAACAACTTTGATTATTTTAATTATCACATTTCTCTAAACGAGGAGTCGCTTGCCTTTTTCTTTATTAAAAAATTGCTGTTCCTCTTTATTTATTGAAACTTTGTAATTGAAACAAAATTAATTAATAATGTTAAATTTATCAACTGAGACTTTCTTTCATATACACAGAAACTGTAGAAAGTTTGTTGCCTCCCTATACCGGTATGAATTAATCAATCTTCTTCTTCTTTCTTTCTTTCTTTCTTTTTTTATTCGGACAACCGGTTTTCATCGTCTCATAAACATAGCAGGCGAGCGTTTACATCGCACATCTCGTACCGTTATCCATTCTCACATACACATTTTCAATACTACATTGTTCGTCGACATTTGTTTAGTCTGGCACAGCTGATGCATTCAACGATCAGCTGTTCGTACTTATAGTCGGCGCGCAACTCCTGAGTTGTCGAATACTTCTCTGTATCATGCAAGTAACGGAATAAACATAACATACTTTAACTAATTTCGAAATGAGATTTCTCTCCGACAGTTGATCCTGTCAAATGCGATATCTAAAGTTCTTCTACGGACAAGATAATGAAATGATTATAGGAATGGAATAGTTAGTGCTTATACAAAATATAAAAATTTATATAAAAAATTTACCGAGTCGATAATATCTTTTAATGTATTTATTATAATTTATGTATCTGTTACATACTATATATATCTATTACATACTATGGTTATTACATACGCTAAATAATTTGTTGTATTCGTTAGAATGAATTAAAAGACATTGGACATTTCGCAGTTCATGTTTTTACCGCACATTCGAGTTTTGATCTACCTGATTATTATTCTATTGATATTGGACATACACACACAAAATATCTATATTTATTAAATAAAACGTAAAATAGAATTGCCATATTCAGCATTAAAATGTGCGGAAAATACGAGTTAGAGTATCCAAGTGACTATGTAAATATTATCGTTAGCATTCTAACGGACCTACCATTAAATGTGACTTTTTTTAAACGTAATCTTATCTCAATGCTTAGTAAATAATCTTTAATGAATCATTCCAAACAGAGTTTCATGCAGAAAAATTACACATTAACTATTACATATTAAATATGAAAATTTATTAACGGACCAAAATATTGACCCAAGATACAAACAACTCCTGAAGGATGATATTTAATGCTAATAGAGATAAAAAAGGTCAACGTCTTCCTGGACGTTCTCCTATAATATATCCTCCCACGATGATGACGTCGTCGCTAGTGCGTGTTTCCCCTCTCTTTCTTTTTCGCACCACCTGGTGAACGGGCCGGCCACGTGGATCGCCCACACGCGAATGTCAGGTGTTGTTGCTTCGGTCAATTGTTCTCTCGGCCGCAGTACGCGAAGGATGTTGCGCCGCTCGGCATCGGCTTCATGCGAGCGCCGACCGAGCCAGCCGCGCAATCAAACTATCGTCATCAATCTGTGGTTTTCTTCGTCTTGGCCGTCCTGATTTCGCCATTCAGTGCGCGAGATACTTTCATCATTCGCGTATTTTTAGCGCAATGATACTATTCGACGGAGAACATGAAGTATTAATTATAAATTGAAAAATTAATTATAATACAGTGAATAAAACATTAAAAATTTTGATAAATAGCAATTAGAAATTAGGTAAATATTGTGTTTGTCAATGTGCAGTGTCGATATATGTGTTTTGTGACAACAGTATGAATTTCTTTCTAGAAATATGATTGGTATATTGTGACATTAATGGTGTTTTTCGTAATGAAATTATGTATTGATAGAGAAAGGCGTATAGTTTAAAAGGCAGATATATATATAGATTCTTACGATACGGTGCGTCGTAATGCGAGATCCTTCGAATCAAGGAAATTTCCAGTGGTCGGGCAGGGCATGAATAATCATGCACCAAGGAAAGATTCTCGCCAACGATACGCTCTTCATCGGTCATCTGCAATTCGTGAGGTTTTTGCAAATTGCGTGACGTCGGAAATCGTGATAGTCGTGACGATCGTGACTAACGTGACGTATCGCTTCGTTTAGCGAATGATTAAAAGCCCAAGTCTTCGATCCTTGGCCTCAATCTACTTTGCCGTGGTTTATGATGACTGTTCTACTGCACCCTTAGACTACATTGACGGCAGGAGCTCCGACGATCGTTTTTTTACTTTTAGACAAGGAGTAAATTTGCGTTTGATTTTGCCGTACTTGTCATTGACGACTGGAAGATATCTCATTATCGTCTTTGCGAATTTATCACTCTAGAAGTATAATCCCTAATTAACGTTCTTTCAGAGATAACAGTCACTCCTCTATTTGCGAAAATTGCTCGAAGCGTTTCTACCCACTGATGAGATTATAAGTCTCGATATTATAATTTTAATAGCTCTCAGTTTTATTTGTCGCAATTATTAAACCTAATGGAGATGTTCCTGGCCGAAGATTTCAAAATTAGACATTGAAATAAATAATAAGAAAGTAGGCAATAAAATAACAAAGAACCGTTACGTAGACTGTTAATGAAAAAGACATTCAGCCATTTAGCGCTATCACAAGGTCATTCTTTGCAACGGTGTAAGTTTCTAGATTTCTTGTGTGCTTCGGACTTCTTACTGTTCGATCGTTTTCCTGTCCTATATATTCGCGACGCGTGGCCTGAATTCACCCGATTTACTTTTCGCAGAACACTCGATGCCGAAGTAGCGCGAAAATAATTCACGGCACGCATACCAGCGGAGATGTCAACGTTTCGATGAAATAACAAAATAACTTATCGTTTCGTATCCTAAAATAAAATCAAAGCGACATTGCTTCGAGACGACGTCATATCTGTATAACGCTACATGCTATTCCGTTTCTGCATTTTTCGAATTTAACAAGTCAACGCTGTCTTACGTTATACTTTTGTTAGCATAAATATTTCATTACAAATATTTATATGTATATAAATTGCTTAAACAATTAAAGTAATAAATATATATATATATATATATATATATATATATATATATTATATATCATAACTTAAAATTTCTATTTAACATTTTTTTAATTTAATGTAAATTTAATTTGTTCTAATTTTCGGGCTGATAATACAGTAAAATATTAAATACATCTTTAAGAATAAAATATAATTGAGTAATAAAATGAATGATAAAATATATGCCCGATTACTGATTGGCCCAAAATATTTTACACATTGTTAGATGCAGAAACGTGACTGCTTATCAAGTACTTAAAAGAGAAACGATATGTGTCGGGCTGAAATGATAAATAACCGACAAAGAGGAGATAAGCGTGCAAAAACGTTGGCAAATACCCTCACACACGCATATTTACCTTTATTTTCCTCCCGGTAGTGCAGCAGTGAAAGCACGATCTCTATAGTGCGCGGATCAGCTGATCCATCAATTCTTTCGTGCGATCGACCATTACACCGATCGGTCCGACAACACTTTATCCTCGACCGGATAATTCTATTTCAGAGTCACTCGCTTAATCGCGATTTTTAATCCTTTAGTGTCGTGCCGCGAATTATTGAAATCGTGCGCGCGTTATTGATTGTTCGCGGTAATCGCTGACAATTTGTCGACATTTTTTATTTATTTACACGCACGTTTGAAGTATATTTATTATCGCAGAAGTGATCATTGTCATATTAAAAGTTATATTACTGTTATATTGAACGGTCAAAACCCTATCTATCTGATATGGCAACAAACGTAAATCATAAAAAGCGACGCCCTCGTTTATTACTCCATGGTGACAATCGTTATCTTTGCAAAAATGTCATCGACGGTCGTGTGCAAACACGAAAGTGTAGTTTGCCCAATTCCTTTGAAGAACTCGATGTAATTGGTGACAGTGCAAGGTACACTCATCTAATCTAACATAACAAATATTACCAAACACTTCAAGAATATATAGATAAACAATTACAGACTTATTGCTCCATCAGTACACCGTCAATAATAAAATATTGAAAGCTAGGAGAGAGAAACGAGTCTTGGTTTAGTGTATAATTAAGTAATTAATTTTTTAAAAATAATAAATAGAGACATGCAAGATAATAAATGGCCTGTTAACATCACTACTGCAATCAGCATCATCGTCACGAGTCTCGAAGATGATACTTCCCGCGTTTCTTGCTTCTTAAGCCAGTTACGGCTTTACGCGACTGATATTCATGCACAATTTTACGTAAATGCGATAGTCACGATGACACAGTGTGACCGCACAACGAACGATATCATGTACTTGCCACGCTTCGAGGCATCCTCGTAGCCTTGAGACTACCGAGAAGAGAGTCAAGGAAACGCATGCAACGATGCAACGGACGATTAGTCCTGCGTTCCTGTTGCCACGAGCTAACAACGATTTCGAGAAGTGACTTGGCACAGCACGGTCGTCGCGTCTCGACGCACGCTTCTAAATTCCGCTTCATCGAATATGCAATTAATTAAGCAATTATGAGAGTTATCCGAGGTGAACGTGTTTGGTGCAACGATATTATTTAAAGTGTCGACGAACGTGAGATGGTGCCATGTCTCAGATACATATCGGCTCCTCCTCACGTTACTGAAAATCCCGAAGTCGAAGCTTATTCAGCGCGAAATTAAACAGCATCATGGATTCCGGGACTATCGCGAGTGGTGAATGAAACTTTTTTACGTTAAACGATCCGAATCATTTGTCGAGAAACAGTCGTCCTCGAAATGTCGCATTTGCGAGTGAAGAGCAGAGTGCTCGGTGACAAGACCTACAAGCACGTTACTGGGACAGGAGAATGTCGCAGAAATCAATTTTCTCTGTTGAAAGGACGACCTCAAAACATCGTACATCGTCTGGAGCATCGATTCCATGAGGTAACTTTGCTTGGAAGAATATTGTGCGAACGCTCGCCTTCCGTAAATATCTCGTTAAAGGCAGTTGTCGTAAAACATAACGTAAGAGTTGTTTCCATTATTTAAAAAATTTACTGATGTCATTTTACATTTTTAGAATATGCTAAATATCTTATGTAAGGGTACACGAAGTGTTACAATAACTTCACACTAAATTATCTTTTTGTCGAACGTGACGGCAGGTGATAAACTGTTTCGCAGTCTGAGAGTCGTATTGATAATATCATGACTAATCTAACCGTAAAACTCAAGAGTATGCAAGGAGCGTAAAAAGGAAACAAACATGTGACTTTTCTACTTCGAGGAATCCAATTGTCGCGCGTTCGCTAAAATTTATTGTTGTTACGTGACGAGATAATCGCGCGCGGTGTACGACGAACGCTGTGTCTCTCGTCGTACACCGGCAGAACGTTGTTTCCTGCATTTTTCGAGTGAGCCATTCTCTATTTTCTGTCGCTGAATGGCTACAGCTACGTCATTCATATTGTCACGAGGAGTCACGTAGGATTCTTTCGTTTTGGCAGCGCGTTTTCAACGGCGCGAAACACGCGGCTCTCTCGTCTAACCACGTTTCTCTGACGACCGCCGCGTTGCACTCTACGCTTTCACCGTAAATCAGAGAGCGGCGTGACAACAACTGCCGCGAATATACGCGAAGCGCAATTTGCACATGGCCAAGATTAGGTTTCTCGGTGCAACTTTAATCGTTAACTCTATGGATATTACACGCTAGCAGACGTGGAATTTTAGAGATCCTATAGCTAGAGATTCCTACTTCTACGAAAAAAAAATAGAAATAATTTTGGTACCCTCGCTATTGTATTTTCTTGTATTTTTCAGCATTAAGTGTGCACAGAATCTCAAGTTTTATCTGTTTTTCTGACAAAAAAAAAACATAATTAGTCAAAATGCCGCGTCGTTGCATTGTTCTAGCGTTCTCCACCTTCCGCATGGTTCTCTTCTTCGCGGTTAGACAGCCGCAAGTTTATTTTGGGTTACCCTCGAGATTGTGCCAATGCACGCCGCGATTCTTGGGTGCGACACTGATTAATGAGTCTCCGTTCTTTTCGACGATACTCTAAGAGCCTTGCCAAATCTTTCATTTTATCATCGTCCGTTAGACGCTTCTCGCCAAAATAGGTCGTGGCTCTTGATTCAGGATGTCCGGTTTCAGACGGCAGACGTTATACATGAGCGTCTTTACTCTAATTAAAACTATTTTCTATTTAATCACGGATTAGTCGAAGCGACTCGTCGCAGATTGCGTCTAAAAATATTCTGTTTACGTCGCATTTTAATGTAATTTTGGCTAATTATTATTTTTAAATGCGGCGAGACGCACGACATTGCGACGCGACGTTATTAATAGATAATATTTCAATCTCCTCCTAATTTTAATGTCAAAGTCTATATAGAGAGATAAATAGTGTTTTCTTTGTAACTCTAAGAAGATAAAATTGTTCTTTGAAGTTGGTGCACTCATTTCGATGCTCCTTTAATCTTTATTACTCTTTTAATTAAATTCTCTTTTCTCCTGAAATAAGTAGGTATGTAAAAAAAAAACAGAATTTGTGTAGATTACTACTTTATAATATTCAACATCAGTCTTCCTTTTTTCTGTTATTTCAACTTGTCTAAGCATTTTTTACTCAACTGTGCACTTAAAAGAGAACGACAAAAGTTAACGCTAATCGATATTAGTGCTAACGAACTCAGAATATTACACTGATAAAAAAATAGTATTCTTCGAGTATTTATGTGTTGAATTACAATGATAGTTATTATTCATTCACTTATTTTTTCACACAAGTTCTGTTAAAAACGTACGCAGATCGATCGGCAACACGAGTTACAGAGGCTGAGAAACGATACCATTTCGCGCGACGTTCATTGGCAGTCTTCGGCATCACGAGACGCTCGATAAGAAGGATGCCTCACGGTTGATCGATTAGAAAGTTTCACTCGTGTTCGCCAATAAATCCGTCATGCGAATCGCGAGCAGTGCGCGAAATCAATTGTGAAATTTCATTCGTGGCGCCATGAATCACGGAACACTTGCGTCCCGTCATTGATACATCGCCAGGAATATTTTTGGCTACAATACCTATTGGTGTTCGATAGTTACAAGGTAGGAGTTGTTACAAGATGCGAATACAATCTTTGTCTTGTCATCTTGGCAGATCGCGATAATTCGAAGCCATCACAACTGTTGGCACTGCGTAGGGAAAAATTGAAGAAGTTTTGAGAGCTATGTTTTATTTTGGAAAAAAAAATTATTGGATAGAATCTTATCTTATCACAATATTTTAATATAAGAACTGAAAATAGCGTTTCCTTACTTCCTACGCTTTAGTATAGTTATGCCTTTTAATTGAAAATATTTCTAGAAATTATATTTAAGATCGCGAAGAAATCGTTTGAGCGTTATTTCTTGATATTTTCAATATACTTTCTAATATTTCTCTAAGATTTATGACCTTTGTAAAACCATCGATAAGCTTTGCATTTTAATTGGCTTTTTATATTGGTCGCGGTTTATATCTCGAGATAGGATATCTCTCGAGAAATGGCCGCGCCTTATCGCGCTTTCAAGGTATTGATAATCGGTCATACATGCATTCGTCTTGGAGCTCCGTATCTTCCTCGGCAGTGGTTCATCGCTTGCGGTATATGTCACTCTTTTATTTTGCGTTGATTTACCCGAGGTCGCGAAACTTCTCGCAGTCGTCAATCGGAATACTTTTCGATCGCTATATTTACTTTCTCAATCGCTCCGGTTTGTTATTCGACATTCACGAAAAATCTGTACGCGAGTGATAATTTTATTCGCGCGCGATGATTAATGGTCCATCGTGGACGATGATCCGTCGTGTCGAGAGATCGCACAGTTTTCTTCCGCGCGTGAGAGGGTAACGAGAAAGCGCTCTTCTACAGTTCATCCCCCGCGACCCTCCCAAGGAATGCTCTCCGCGGATAGGATACGGCAGTGAACGAGGGAGACTGACGTAGGCACGTAGAAATAAAACGAACTGTCCTCGTTATCGGCGAAGCAAACGAACGCCTTTCGAGACTTTCGGAAATTCGCGAGTCTGCTGACGAGCCTCTTCGAGAACGAAGCTACGTGGACTCTGCGACTAAAAGTTACATCCCCGACGGAATTCCTCATTAAAGCTGCAGAATGCAGAAATGTGTTTGCGACGCGTGACAACGAACCCGGCAGAAATGTGTGATTTTCCAAAGCGAAGCAACTTACTTCAGATATTCCCGCCCATCTATACGATCTCGTATGTTTTTCGTGTGTCCGAACGGACTTGCGCTTACAGATAACAAATTAATCTTAAAAAGATAATGCGACGTCTCGTAGGAATTTATCTCGCGCTGCTGCACGCCGTGACTTTCCGGTATGTTCCTTATCGTTTACGCAAGTTGATACAGTTTTCCATTTCATCACGACACAGTGCGTCTAATAACGCGCCAATGTTGTCCTCGGTGGATCGGATTGCGGTGTGTATCTGAATCTGCATATACAAAACGTCCTGCGGAAATTTACCGAAACCTGCGTGAATAATCGGGAACGACGCGCGTTGAACACTTGGCGCATACCTGATTCGAGTCGCTTCTATTTGCCGAGCGAAAAGGGATCGCATAAACAAGCCGGACAGGCCAACTCGTGTGACGTAACGGTATCTCGTGGATAAAATGATCATTTTACATTCAACAAGTGCGTCAGATCGGGATCGCTCGAAACGTTCATATTTGCGCATCACGTGCGCCTGTAATGAGAAACATTAGGCCGTTTTCTTCAGCTATTCTTTAGCACTTGCAATGGATTGGACGAGTACGTGACCGTGTATTGCAGGTGAGGGAAGCGAACCGATTAAAATTAGCGAAGGAATAAAAGCGCAGCTCCGATGAGTCCTGCATAAGTGGGATAGTTCGTTAAAAAAAAAAAACAATGAATTAGTTGCCCACGCTCGCGAATATTTCTCATTATTCCTAATTATACGCGATTAATTGGAGCGGATTCGACATTGATCTCCGTTCCATGGAGTATAAGAACGAGAGAACGAGGCTGTTAAATATCAACCAGCGAAATGCATCCTTCTCGTCCTTGCCATCATCGCAAGGATCCAGTAGAACGTACGGGTCTCTTTCTTCGACGTGCCAACAAGCCATTCAATCGTTTTGGAGCAGGAGCAAACAGGTAGACGATACAGCGATTTATACGCTGTTGAACATTTTATGGAACATTCTCATCATATCTATTTTCTCGCCGAATACAATATGAATAGGATATATGATGTACAATCGTCTGCTTCAATTCTTAAAAAAGTGGCTTAAGCTATTTATTTTTCGAGACAATCAATTTGCTTATCTCGTATTAAAAAGGAAAATCTTCGTTAATTCAACTTTATATATTTGAGGTACTTTTAATCTTCTTAATTCACTCTTGCAAATGTGATTCACATATGACGACGCAAATCGGAACACTCAGTTTTCTCTCAGGCCATTTCCCTAAACATTGGCGGATGTTGCAGCCATCAGTCTCCGGAAACGTTCGAGCGAAGCTTCATGAATGAAACTCTTTCGCTCCTTACTACGACGAGCGTGCCAAGATTTAGTCGGGATAGCTCTCGTGATAAATGACATAGGCAACAAACCGCGGTGTCGAAAGACGTCTCTTACGAGCTGACAATGGTGACAGTTCGTGGCAGATTCGGTGTCTCAGATATAATAGCATTGCGAACATCGCGTCCATTTGGATAGAATTTCCAACGTAAACAAATCATATGCGCAAATGATTCATACGATTGGCGGTATTCGCGATTCATTTCGAACACGACGAATATTATACTATTTTCGCCGGTATTCACAACGTCGATGTTTATACCGTTAGTCGGCTCGGAATAAATAGCATTAGATATTTTAACTCACTCGATGTTTTCGGCACTCGGCGTAAATCGCGCAGAAGATGTCGAAATTACGAATGCTGAGTCAAAATTACATGTACTTTGAAGACGGATGCCTTCGTCCGACATCAAAAATCGTCTCTCTCTCTCTTTGGCGTACCTACAAAAATAATTCCTAGAAGTTTGTGGTTTAAAACGTCTTACATAAATGATTTTTGTCTATAAATTATATTGTCTTGAAATGATTTATATAGACTTATTCAGTGAAAAAAAAAACATGCTCCGATTTAACAAACAACATATTGCAAAAAATAATTCTTAGTTAGAAGTGACAATAACACAAGGATGTAGGTATGTTTGAAAATATATTTCGTAGCGCATAAACTGCGACAATTAATTTGATCTTGTGCCAGATCAAGGCTAATTAATGGATTTGTACTACTTGCAGCACGACAACATGATTTATATATCACTTATATCAGAGATTCTTGTAATTATTTATTTGAATAATTCTGGAATAATTCGAATTTTTCTTTTACTGCAGCTTGAATTTACTATAATCTAATAAAGCGGTTATTTTTTTATAAAAGAATATTACATATATTTGTTATACAAAATTTTATGCGGATTTGAAAGTACACTCTCAGAAAAGAATTCTAGATACAATACTATTAGGATCGAAATAGGGCCAATCATATTTAGTATTGAAAGAAGAATATTTTAATCTTAAATAAAGGAATTCTTAAATTAGATTTCTAGAAAAAAGAATATTTTAATCTTAAATAGAGATATTCTTAAATCTAGAATAAAATAATCTTGATGCTATCCCTCTAATTTTCTCAGAATTATTCTAGATTCAAGAATTCCTCTATTTAAGATTAAAATATTCTTCTTTTAATACTAAATATGATTGGCCTTATTTCGATCCTAATAGTATTGTATCTAGAATTCTTTTCTGAGAGTGTATGTTACACGAATTAGTTGTGCAAATGGATAAATTATGTAACGTAGTGGGAGCAGGGCATCATATATACATAATCTTTGTCACATAATTATAAACGCTTCATTGGTTTTCAATAATGTCTAGCTATCAATATACTTAACTTACCTTTTACACGCAGTGTGTAGTAGCGACGTCTCGACGACGGGAACGGGAACGTTATTTGTGATATAAACGGATACAGTATCGGTAACTTCATACAAGAGCTATTAATAATATCAACTTGCATCTGCAATAAATTCCAATAGTAATATGAAACCAGGAAGGTGATAATAAATAAAATTATATCAGATATTTTTATTCAAAACAAAGGAGTACTTGATGCTTTAATTACCATGAAGGAATAATATTCGCAATTGCATACATCCAAAACTGTTAACTTCAGCATATATTACAACGTAGTATATTTTATGTGCGTCAACTGTGATGAATTTTACAATTCGATGTTGGTCCATTTCGCAAACATTGTTATCAAATTTTACGATCGTTCTACGTCGCCTATCATATTTATTGATCGTATGTACCTATCGTCGTATGTTATATGGACGACATGACGCTCTTTCAATCTCCAAATGTTGAGCGTTTGCAACATTTATCTAGTAAGCACTTCGAGTTCAAGATTCGTGACACAAAATATAAAATTTAACGTTCCAAATCCAATTAAAGTGTTCTACGCAATAAAGATCTTGATATTTTTAAGAACTTGAAAAGTTATTGTTAACGATAAAAATAATTAATCTTTCGGAAGTTCTCTTTAAAAAGTGAGTTGAAGCAGCGTTGTGTGTGTACCGAGACGTTTCGATTGCGTTGGAGAATTTCAAACTAAACTTCAAGAGTAGGGAACTTTTCTAACAATACCTCTCAGTTGAGCTTGGTTTCCAGGATGTCATTCCAAAGCGAAAATCAACTCACGATCGCAACTCACAAAAATTAATTTATTTTTTCTTTTTGTTCTGTGTAATCAGGTGAAATTCAATTCGGTGAGAGCTTATCGTCGAACGATCCCGCGAGAGACGATAGTGTTATTATCGCCACGCTTTGCTGCGCATCGCGACATCGGTACGGCAATGGTGATACTGTTCTGCCGAACGACATCGCGTCATTTCGTTTTATGAAGCGCAGTAAAGTTCCACGTACACAATTAATTAGTTTACTGAGAGCTTTAATTGGCCGGGATTAACGCGAGAACTAACTGCGGCAAGTGCCTCTAAAAACAAA